ATTGTGGGGATTACTCTATTTTAAATCACGAAGTAGTTTACTGTTTGGGCATTTGTGGTATTTTGCCCATTTTGCAGGTGAGGAACCTGGGACTTGGAGAAGTTACATTAAGTTGCCCCAGGTCACCCAGCTGGTAAGTGCAGGCATCTATTTTTATTCCCATACTCTCATTATTAATCCTACTCAGATTCTTTCTTTCACTTTTAGAAAGGTTTCAATCCAGGGTCTCACTGATCTTTTCCTTCTTCTTGATGAGGTTTCATTCTAAAAGCAGAGAATATCAGAAAATGGATATATATCCAGTCTGGAGCCATGCTTTTATGGGTAGTACTAGGAGGGTCTAGTTCTAAGCCAATGTGCATAGGATTCCCTCTGGTTCATCCTTGCCAGACAATCCCCCTGCCTCCCTTTGCCATTGATGGAAAGTTCATTGCTTCCTGAGCCAGTCCCTTATCTTGGCTGATGGCTCTGTTTGTGAGGAATTCTTATCAGCTGAAATTGTCTTTCCTGGAATTTTCGGTCTGACTGAAGGAGATCCAAAAGTACCTGGATTTGTCTCCCTTCCCTCGAACTCCCTTCTCCTCCCCTCTTCTCCTCTGGCCCTCCCTTGCCAATAAATGTTTCACTTTAGAATATTTTTAGATTTATAGAAAAGTTGTCAAGATAGTAGAGAGTACTGTATATCCTCACTATATTGTTAAGATCTTACAGTACTTAGCAAAACAAAGAAGCCAATATTGGTACATTATTATTATTAACTGTAAACTCCAGATTTTATTCTCATTTCACCTAGTGGTTTTTTGTCCCCCGAACATTCTTTTTCTGTTCCAGGAACATTTTGTAGAATGTTCCTCAGTTGGTATTTATGTGATGTTTTTATTGTGGGGTTATGTGTTTGGGAGAAGAATACCACAAAAGTGAAGTGCCATTCTCATCATATCATATTAGGGGCACATAATATCATTTGAGTTTATCACTGGTGATGTTAACCTTGATCTTCTAGGGTAAACTTCTCCTCCCTCTTCTTTCCATACACAATTTTTTAGAAGCAAGTCACTATGTACAGCCCACACTTAAGAAGAGGAGGGATTAAGCTCTACCTTCTGGAGGGAGCAGTATCTACATAAGTTATTTGGAATTCTGTAAAAAACATCTATCTGTTCTGTATGTATGCATGCATGCATGCATGTATGTATGTATTTATGCCATCACTTATTTATATCAGTATGGCACAAAACACATTTATCTTGGACTTTGAGTTATAATCCATTACTACTTTATTTTCTTGCTCAAAGTGTTTCCGCTTTGGCCACGGGGAGGCCTTCCAGTTGTCTCTTGTGTCCTTTTGACATGCCCCATCCTTTTGTTTTTTATGGACTTCCTTACTTTCTGGCACAACAAGATATTCCAAGTTCTTCTTATATTTTCCCTACCTTATCCCTAGAATCAGCCATTTCTCTGAGGACTCCTGATTCCTTTTATTTGAGAAAGATGTTAGAAACCAAGATCTGACCCCTGGCTGTGCTCACTGCTACCAGGGTGTCATTACTTCTAGATTCTCACAGTGGCAGAATTAGGAAAGAGATGTATGTATATCAGCCCATGTCATACACATATCTATGATATTTCTCTATCTACATTTGTTTCTGCAGGAAAGCTTTTCTTTTTTGAGCATTGGTATTTTTCTGGGTAGCCAATAAGGAAATATGATTCATTACCTACTATCACCAATGATAATGTTTTTTTTTTTTTTAAAAAAAGGAGAAAAAGGTGAAACTGGAGACCTTGGCATAAATATGGCTTAAGAACTGAGCCGTCTCTAGTCACATCATGTCATTTCAGAGATGAAGAGATACAAGTTCACTGGGACCCTACGAGGTTGAGGAGCTAGTTAGTGGTACAGTCAGGTTTGGATCTGGGTGTTTGAAATGGAGTCTCTATTTCCACCACATCACATGCCTCTTTAAGACTGATTAGCAAATATTCTTGGCTTTGTATTCAACTCAATAATTAGCTTTTGGGAATGCTTGAAGCAGATTAGAATGCAATTTTAGAAATTAGGGTGCACAGGTATTACCTAGCTAACAGAAGTTTGCTAGAGTGTCATTAGTGAGGGAGCTTGTTCTCTGGCAATATATTTTAGATCAACAACTTGAAAATGATGCTCTCATGGCCAGATGTTAGTGGGCAAATCTTTTCAAATGATTATGGTGATTACTCTATGTTGTTTTACTTTTTATAACTATCTTTTAAAAAATCCTTTTGCTCTGGGAAAAGACTTAAAAGGGCTCCCGTAGGCTAGACACTTGATGCGTATACCTGTTTTTTAGAAATGGGATATAAAGCAGTGAAGGGATCTGCTTAATGTTATCCAAGATGTTGGTGATAGGGTAAAAAGGAAAAATGAAAGCTGTAGCCCCCATGGCCCCACTTCTAACAGGCCAACCACACAGCTCCTTTATTATAAATTGCTCTGGGCAGCTTGTAAAGCAAAGAACACTTGAATGTTTGTCTCCAGAGACTCCTGAGGCAATAGGACGGTCCTAGGATGCCTTCAAATGTTTCAGCCATTTCCTTTGAGAAGTGGGTGTGTTTATACTTGGTAAATCATGTCTTGTCACCATGTAGCAGTAAAATCTTCCTGTTCTTTTCCATTTGAACCTATTCATTCCAAAGACTTATCATTTTGTTTTTGTTTGGTGCATTGTGAACATCCAAGTTTTTTAGTGGAAATAAATGGTAACAGCTGTTTTTCGTGTACCAAATAATATAATTGTGAACCTTAACCTTGAGACGATATATCCAAATTTTTCCAGGTGTGGAAATGACTTGACTGGAAAAGTTCATTTTGGAGTAATCATCCCAATATAGAATCACATCCAGCTGCTCGCCATCAACTTCATTCAAAGAGAGAACATTTCTATAGGCCATTTTTTTATTCAGACACTCCCTTCATAACCTGGCTTTTCCTTTTAAAATATTGCATTTTCACACACTTAAACACACACACGCACACACACACCCTAAAGTCCCATCTTTCTTCTCTTCTGCTTTACTCTTCTCCATAGCTGTGCCCACCATCTAGTATACTATATATTTTACTTCTTTAGATTTTTAATTGTCTGTTTCACCCAACTAGAATGTAAGCTGTGTGAGAGCAGGGAATTTGTTTTCTTCACCGCTGCATCCCTAGACCCAGAATAGTACCTGGAATATAGTAAGTGCTTAATGAACCCTTTTGAATGAATGGCATGAAAGTTGCAAGTTGTAGTCATTTGCTCCCTGATTTTAATATAAGTACAAGTAGTTGAGTTTATTTTATAGGAATATTTTATATCATAGGTTAAATAAAACATATTATTTAAAATGGGGATTTATCTGTTTATGAAAAATCTCAGAATTTGTATGAGACATGGTATAGTTACTTGGAAGTTATTAGGTGACTCCAGAAATGCAGTACTGTTATCATATGCAAGGAATTTTGAAATTCTCTGCTAAATATCACTCATGAAATTAGTGGAAGAGCTAAAAGGAAAAAAAATTTAAGTTTTAAGATACATTATCTTCAGATCCACCCAAAGATACCTTGAACCTTAAGTGACATTGCCCAGTTTGATCCCTTATTCTATTCACCAGATTTAGCAGAAAATGACTTTTCGTTGTTATAAAAAATCCTATGATCCAGTAATTGCACTAGTAGGTATTTACCCAAAGAATAAAAAACATTAATTTGGAAGAATATATTCACCCCTATGTTTATTGCAGCATTATTTACAATAGCGAAATTATGGAAGCAAGCCAAGTGTCCACTGATAGATGAATGGATAAAGAAAATGTGGTATATATATACAGTGGAATATTACTCAGCCATAAAAAAGAACGAAATCTTAACATTTGCATTGACATGGATAGAGCAAGAGACTATAATGCTAAGCAAAATAAGTCAGTCAGAGAAAGACAGATGCCATATGATTTCACTTATGTGTGGAACTTAAGAAATAAAACAAAGACAGAAACCAAAAAACCAGACTCTTAACTATAGAGAACAAACTGATGGTTACCAGAGGGGAGGTGGGTGGAGGGATGGGTGAAATAGGTAAAAGGGATTAAGAGTACACTTTAATCATGATGAGCACTGAGTAATGTATAGAATTGTTGAATCACTGTATTGTACACTGAAACTAATATAACACTGTATGTTAACTATTAGGAATCAAAATGTTAAAAATTTAAAGACTACATGAAAATAAAAACAAACTTTGATTTTGGAATTAAAAAATCTATTCTCTAAAAAAAAATTTTTTTAATGTTTACTATTTATTTTTGAGAGAGAGAGATACAGAGACAGAGTGAGAGTGGGGGAGGGTTAGAGAGAGAGGGAGACACAGAATCCGAAGCAGGCTCCAGGCTCTGCCTGAGCTGTCAGCACAGGGCTCGACGTAGGGCTTGAACTCATGAATGATGAGATCATGACCTGAGCCGAAGTCAGACGCCCAACCAACTGAGCCACCCAGACGCCCCTAAAAAAATCTATTCTTGACTACTATTTGCCAAACATAGAGAATATTAAAAAGAATATGCTGTAAAATTTAAGGCAATTCCTCTGAATGTCAGCATGTGTTTACATATATAGATGCTGACATGTTTTTGTTTTTAATCATTGCTTTAAAAATACATTTTTTAATTTAAAATTCTAGTATCTGAAGTACTTACACTTATAAAACTAATGGATTCTTATTTGTTTAAGCAATATGTGAGATAACATAAAAGGTTCTGTAACTTGACTAGTGCAGTGTTATAAACTAGGTCATTCCAAACGATCAATCTAATGCCAAATTTCTTGCAGCTTTCTCTCCAGGACAAGAAGCAAACAAATAAAAGGCAACATAGTCAGTGAACATCACAAACTTGTTTGCAAGATATCTTTGGACTGATGCGATGCATAAATTACATCTTTGTATAAGAATGATGTATTTTCATATTACCACCTTTTATTCCAGAGCATTGGGGAGTCAACCATGTCTGTTGTGTTAAATCAGCTGCTGCCCATGATGAAGCCTTTGAACCAAAGGACCGACAATGATTACAGCCCTGAAGAATTGTTGGTCCTCCTGATATATATTTACTCTGTTGGTGGAGAGTTTACAGTGGACAAAGACCTGGGGGAAGCCGAAGAAAAAGTGAAGAAAGCATTGGCTCAGGTCTTCTGTGAAGAGTCTGAATTGTCACCTTTGCTGCAAAAAATTACAGGTGAGTGTTTAATAAAAAATACAGGACATAAAAATCACTGACACAGAAAAGGGTTTAAAAATAAAGGCATTTTAGGAAGAGGATGTAACCATGTTCTTTGGAGTTGTCTGGAATTTTACGAGGCCTGATGAACGCTAGCCAGCCTTTAGGACTAGGTTTTCATTGCAGTGTCCTCCCCACCCCCCCCCCCCGGCGCCGCGACATGGGCTTCTAGTTGCCTGCCACAGCTCCTATTTGTAGAGCCTTGTTAAAATAGCAAAATTCTCACGGGGTATAATATCTTTAAGAAAAAATAAAATGCAGGGAAGCCTATTCAAAAAGGTTTCTGTTGACATATTTTCTTTGAAATAGTCATTTCAAGCTTTAAAAAAACACACACCGATGCACAAACCTGCCCTAAGATGCTACCCAATGTCATAGGATTGAAAATAGCAATTTTCAAGAGTACTTTCATACTTTTGACTTCTCATCTTTCGTTTTGAATCTGAATTAATTGGTAGTATCTCAAATAATATCTAAAACATACTGTTAGTGGCTGATTTGGGGAAATATATAGTTAAATATCACAAAATGTAACCATTTTACTATGATGTAACTCATGGAGACATTCATTTCTGTGTTTCTTATCAAACTCCATATCATTTATGGGTTTTTTTTGTTTTTTTTTGTTTGTTTGTTTTTGTGGGGGTTTTTTGTACAAAGTTTATTTCCATTGGTATGGATTGAGCCCAGGTCTGTTTAAGAGTGAGAAATTGTTGGGGCGCCTGGGTGGCGCAGTCGGTTGGGCGTCCGACTTCAGCCAGGTCACGATCTCGTGGTCTGTGAGTTCGAGCCCCGCATCAGGCTCTGGGCTGATGGCTCGGAGCCTGGAGCCTGTTTCCGATTCTGTGTCTCCCTCTCTCTCTGCCCCTCCCCCGTTCATGCTCTGTCTCTCTCTGTCCCAAAAATAAATAAAAACGTTGAAAAAAAAATTAAAAAAAAAAAAAGAGTGAGAAATTGTTGAAGCTTACTTGCAAAACTTCAATCCTTTAAAAACCTACCAAGTTTCCATGCATTCATGAATGTGTGCGTATAGGTGTGTGTAGACCTCTCCATTCAGGAAGGCTCCGCGGAGGCACAGTATGTATTTTCCAACTTTTCCTCCTGTTGTGCCTCCCTGACAGAATTTTCCAGATGGCTCAGCAAGAGCCTGTGTAGTTGTTGACCTTGGTGCTCTATGCACGTGTGCATACCTGCCGACCTTTTCTGTGTTTGGTTATGGCAAACAAAACCCTGACAAGATGGAAACCCAGTGAAGTTTCCACAAAAATAAAACATTTTCTTGCTTCGCATAGAACGTATCTGCCAACTTAAAAACGTGCTTAAGGAAAACTTGTGGAATTCGCTCACATTTCATTAAGTTATAGCACTATATGTGATTACGTGTGTTTGTTGGGCTATAAATGAAGATTGACTTAGAAAAGTTTAATATGGTTTATATAGTGCCTTGAATAGTAGTTTGATTCAGAGTAGATTTCAAAGCTAGGAGAATTTAGTTGGAAATTATCTTAAAATGCATAATTTCAGAAACAGACAACAAAGATGGTTTGTTTTAGCTGAGGTTATTTGGATGGCTTTTCTGTAACGTTAGTATGTTACTATATTATTTTGGGAATTGAAATCATGCTGTAAGAGTATTCATTTAATATTTGTTCAAGGTGTTTATTGACCCAGCATTTCACTCTTTATTAGTTTCTCTATTTATGATTGCTTAGGATATTGCATTTTCTTGCTTTTAAATGTGACTTCACATTTAAAAACACTTCTGTACATTCATGTTTGTATCAAGAAAATGAGTAGGTTTAGCAAATGAAGCTTCAAAATAAGAAGTTGTGAGAGTTTCAGTATATTTAAACAATTTAGAGACATTATTTTGCAATACAAAGTATATATTCCTACCCAGATTAACTTTGCGTGTAAAGTTTAAACAGAGTGGATAAGATGCACTATTTAAATTTGGCATAAGTGAACTTACCAGTGGAATACGTATGTGTTGATCAACCTCTGTGGACACCAAAAGGCTTTATTTATGATGATAGACTTTTCCTTGGCCATAGATCTGCCCCTTATTAAGTATGTTGGCTAGTCAGATGTCCTGAGAAGTGTAGTGTTTATGTTACCAGGTAGCTACTGACGAGACTCTTTATATCTCAGGACAAAAAGCACTAGGACGGTGTTGGAGTAGCAGTGACTCAATCTCGTAGAAGAAGGTGGGATATTCCAGTATATATTGAAAGAACAGAATTGCCTTCCAGATTGCCTTCCACACGCTTGGCCTGTTGTGGATCTAGGTTGACCTGGCGTTTACCATGAACTTGCAGACAGTGTTGCATTTATGTTATTCCAGTTTATAGTCTTGGCTCACTTGTTACTGGGTGGTGGAATTTCTTTTATGCCTTGTGCACGTTTTGGGGTTGGTGACATTTGGTTTAAAAGTATTATTGAAAGCAGGCAATTAATCAATAGAATTCCACATTTTATATTGTAATTTTACTAATCTCAATGTTGAGAGAATCAAGAAAACAATACTTTTTCTGTACTGAAAACTCAAGTAGGTGATCATCACCCAAAAGTGAAAGGATCAGGATTTGGACCCAAGTGTTCTAGATCTGGAGCCCAGGCCTTTAAACAAGAGATTCTAAGTCTGCCACAGGCTCACTTCCATAACCATTGCGTTTATTATATCTTGTAACTCACGCTTGCTTACACGTACCGTTGTATGCCATGCATGCTCAATCATTCCATCATGTTATTTTATGAACGCTGAATTAATATTTGGTTAATAATGTAGATATTTGCCTGTGCTTTTTACTCTGTCTATAACAGCTGCTGATAGATGTTTCATCATACCTTCCTATTTTTGTTCATGTATCCTCTTTGTTTCTGCATTGCTATGAAGAAATGAAGATGTTATTTCTAGTCATTGAACTCTATTGGCTGTCTAGCTTTCGAAAATAGGAGTAGCAAACTTAAATTCTTTATCTTTCAATATCTCTTGATAATAACTGCCCTGTTTGAAGTTCATGTGTTTTATATGTTGAATATGTAATTTGCTTTTGGCAATTTCTTTCATTTCTCCCTCTTCTCCCCTTTAATGGAAAGGACAATGAGAAATTGTAGTTGGCAAAACAAACCAAAACTTAAGCATGGTCAATGGCAGCATACTATTTTCCTTTTGATAGCTATGTTTTAGGGAGGGTGGTGGGCAAAAACTCTCTTTTCTACTCACACAAAATAACCAGGACTGGCTCTCTGGGTGTCAGGAGTAGAATCTGTAAAAAGAAAATTGGTATGGCCTGAAAATGTCAGTTAGTGTGCTTTCTGAGTCTCGCTGAGTTCAAAGAGAATATCAGTTTCCAAATACGCTAGTGTTTGCATAGCAGTCACAAGAGAAAACAAAGGAAAACCATTTGAACTTTCTTCAGAGAATGAAGTCAAAATTCTAATTTTAAAGATCTGTGTCAACTTGGAATGTCATCATACAATGGGGTGTATCAGATAAAGCGTAGACCTAAGCTGTAGAAATCCTTGATTCAGAAGTCCTGGCTCTGTAATTTCCTAGCAGTGTGTCTTAGTCGGCATATCATCCGTCTTTGAACCTTGATAATAAACATAAGTGCCCTATTGACCACTCAGTCAATTTACTAAAAATAAAAGGATGCTATACGTGTGAGTTAATTTCCAATCCATACACACTGTAAATAAGTAGCTTTCTCCCACTGCTGTTGTTATTTGTATAACATCTAAGTGTCACGTAGGGCAGTGCTTCCCAGCCATATTCCCATTGTGACACACATAGACAACGAGTATGTTTGCATAGTGTACCCAGGTAAGTGGACAGAACTTTTTCGTCAGAAGCAACCACTCCCAGGAGCTTTGACCACTTCAATGCCTCCCTACCTGACTTGTGAACTGAAATGAAACAGCTTGGCACACATACAAGCTATTAGGAGCAAATCAGTGCTCCTAATCAGGTGTGTTGTTCAGAAGGCTCTGGAATCAGAAAACAAAGAAAAAACAAAACTTACATATAGTTTTGACACCCAAAACCCAAAATGGATAAAGGTCCTGAATGTGAGACAGGAAACCACCAGAACCCTAGAGGAGAGAGCAGGAAAAAACCTCTCTGACCTCAGCCGCAGCAATTTCTTACTTGACACATCTCCAAAGGCAAGGGAATTAAAAGCAAAAATGAACTACTGGGACCTCATCAAGATAAAAAGCTTCTGCACTGCAAAGGAAACAATCAACAAAACTAAAAGGCAACTGACGGAATGGGAAAAGATACTTGCAAATGATGTATCAGATAAAGGGCTAGTATCCAAAATCTATAAAGAACTCACCAAACTCCATACCCGAAAAACTGGAGAGCACTGTTCTTAAGGACACTGGGTAGGTAAACATAATCTAGTGAGCTTTCAACTGGGTTCCCTTGCATCCCCCAGAGGAAACCTAATAGAGGAGAGTTTCTTCATCAACTTCAAATGAGGAAGCAGTTAAGAATTTGTTTTTCCTTTTTTTAAAATGTTTTATTTATTTTTGAGAGAGAGAGAGAGAGAGAGAGAGAGAGAGAGAGCGAGCATGAGCAGGGGAGGGGCAGAGAGAGAGGGAGACAGTGGATCTAAAGCGGGCCCTGCGCCAGACAGGAGAGAGCACGATGTGGGGTGCGAACCCATGAACCGTAAAATCATGTCCTGAGCCAAAGTCAGACGCTCAACCGATTGAGCCAGGCTGGTGCCCCAAGAATTTGTTTTTCAATGGGTTGTGGAAGATACCTCATGGTACTTTCAGATCTACTTTCCAAATGGAAAGCATTTTTGTGCCCTTAACCATAGTGAAACAAAGCCACATTCTACAACCAACAGTGAAAATCTAGTTGCAATGATTTATGACAGCTTTCCTCTTTTGAAAAGCTCAGGTAAATACAGACCATATAAAATTATTATTGCTATTCGTGTCTG